TTGACGATTTGCATGCATTTTGACTCCATTTAGACTCGAATAGGATAACATCACTGTTGACACACCCTTGATGATTGAATTGTAGTATGGTGGCATATGAATGCTTAGCAATCCGAGCCAGTTAGTCACTATGTTGTTCATATTGATTCCTTTTGTAGTCCCACCGTCTCCAACGTAGTATTTTGCACAAGCTGCGACCTTGGTACTTTTTCACATACATATACAAAGAAAGAGAATCGCATTAGAGAAATTTCCAACAACTTGCCGATTATGCAATGTTAGTGCACTTGTTTGGTACGTAATATTTGGAGTGCGCTATTTACTTAGGTAGTATACTTACTTTCCACCAACATAAGGACACCCTTTGGTGAATTGGGAGGGATGTCTCCTTGTAAACCTGGAATGATTTCCGTCATATCTTGAACAATTTTAGGGTCCTCACTGTAACTCTCGTAACACCTTCCCCATCGTGGATCTCTGCATACCTATTAATTGTATTGTAGAATTGAACTTAGATTAGTTTGTGAAAATTAAGTTTTCATAAAATTGTAAGTTGAATATTGTATACCGCAATGCATGGAGCAAAGACATAAGGTATGCCAGTAGCTCTGGCTTCAAGGGCAGTTGCAGCACCAATCCTCTTCACAAGGTCTTTATCTCTGCATAATGAAAAAAAAAACACGCACACTGTAAATATGATATTGGACAACACAATTCAGTACAAGATTATAGTACTGGCCTAGTTGCTCCTGGGCCAACATTATGGGGAAATATGGTAGCCTTGTAAACATTGTTGTGGCCATGAGCGGCATCAATCCCTTAAATCATAGGAATCCCAAGTCTGCTAGACAAAGAACCATTCTAAAACCTATCCACCACATCCATCTACTCCTCGGCTGTGGCCTGTTCACGTGGCACACTTCTCCACCGCTTAGGAGGCTGCCGATGGAGTAATCTCTCATGATCTCTAGTGTGTCAGCACGGCGATCAATCTATGCCATCTGCCCAATTTTCTCTTCGAGGGTCGTTTGGGCCATGAGAACCTTAATGCAAATATTCATACGTTGGTTTGGATCCTTGTATAGCATGTTCAACTTTGAGTCTTGTCCCCATGTTGATGCACATAAGAGCAGAAGTCCCAATATTTGAACTAAATACCTTGAAAACATTGCTTCAAAACTTGATTACTTTACTTTCTGAAAACATAAGACAAAGTTAACGAACACTGAACTTGTTCAAAAAAGAGACATTAAGTGTATAGAAGACTTGAAAACATGCATGAATTTTAAGAAAATAACAAATAGATGAACAAAGGGAACTCACGTCAAGAAGAAGGAAATAAATAGTATCTAATCAAGTTCAAGAAAAATTAATTAGTATGTAAAAGGTTACAGTATTTGGGATTATATAGCCATTAAGGTGTTACTGTTCTTATTGATCTCGAAAAATGGCTCGACACGTGGCCAACAGAAAATGTTTTCAAGTCAGCTCTTCCCTGCATACGTGACACACTGTTAGTCACTCGTGGCCTTTCCCGAAGGGGTTGGGAGTGGCTACAAGCACTCCGATGGTCAAGTCAGTTTAAAGTTCAACCGGAAAAGAGTTCACCGACTATGGAACACTCGTCAGGAAGTGGTTGACAAAGTATATATCGAAAAGTGCTAATATTTGGGGGAAGGGAATATTCAATTTTGCAATGTAGTGGTAGTTTGGAGTATGTTGGATTTCAATCATTCTTCAGACACAAGGAGGGGGTATTTATACTAAGAATGGGAAGAGGAGAGCTGTTGGATGAGGAGACACGTGTTGCCAGATTCTCAGGGCTCATCCCATCCTAGGTGTCAACCCGTCCCTCCATAGGTTGGTTGTCATTGAATTTTTCTGACAGAAGCAACTGATTTGACGTCGATCGACGCGTGACGTGGTGTGAGCCACCTCTGATAACACGTGGAGGGTGAGGTGGCGGGTTTGACTTAGCCCGTAACAATAGTCCCGCAAGT